TCTTATAGGCAAGCTGTAATGCAAGTTCCATCCTCCTTAGGTTTTTACAATGATCACTTTTTACCGATAATTTTCATATTCGATCTTTCATTAACTCTTTGCATTCTTCGTTACTTTGCAGAGAAAATTTGAAATCAGTTCCATGATTTTGGTCTTCTACCTATCAAGAGATCATTTCTTCTTGAAAGGTGAGCGGCTAAATATTTATTTCAGAAATATAGCGCGCTGAAATGTTTACGATTGCAACTTAATAATGATAGAGATAAATACTTGTGAATGATGAGTCTGTTTACTCTCACGACTTGATTGCTGTACGGTACATTGATATTGTAAGGAGAAACTACATATTCATCACTACTGTGACGATGTAAAATAAGAAGATGCCATATGTTATTTCATGAATCTTATGAGCAACCTGGGAAACAATTTTTCTTCCATCTCAGGTTTTATTTTTTTCATTTTGGTGATTTCTTGTTACCAACCGTGTGAGTAAAATGTTGTTACACCAGCTATTTGTATATACGTTTGTTTTTCTGGGAAAGTCGAATTTCATTTTTTTACTTTCGTTTTCATAAGTCACACCATCAAAATCTGTCGGCAGGGTCTGTGTTCAAAGGTGAACTGTTCCCCTTTTTTTAAAATTTCTATATTTTGATTACTTCTTAATTTCATTTTCCATGAATAAAATTGATCTTCTTATTTTAACGAACAAAAAATTTGGAGAACTTGGTATAAGTTGTCGAAGTAACGAGAATGTAATTGAATGAAATGAAAAGATTTTATTTCATAAATACAGAGATTCACAGTGTAAAGTGCTATCGTTCCGGTTGTACGAACGTTATGTTTTCACAGTCGTTCGCTTTCCACTTTAAAGTGTAAATTTCAGTTCATATGTGTGAAAGATAAGACATCATATATGGAAAGTACTTGAATGATTTTTATTCACTTGTTGCGATGCATGAAAAACTCAATCGTTCGCTGTAAAATTCACGCGTCACATATTAATTTTGGCCTTAATCACGTATCACGTGTAAACCCTTTGGTACCCCCTTTTCAAAATTCAGTTTGACTGCTCTCGTATGACACTGCAATGAGGTTCAGAAATAGAAATTGCAATTGAAAGTTTCGCGCGACTGTGATAGTTTTCAGGATTAATTGCCAAAACAATTCAAGCAAGGAAAACCCACTTCCCCAAGTCGACCTTCCTATCCGCCAACCACTATAAAGTGTGAGAAGGACGGTTTTTCCGAATCTTAATATAACTTTCAGCAGGATAAAACACAGCGAAAGAATGCCAAAAAAAGGGAACATCCCATTTACTTTAATATTTCAATTGTCAAGGGTCGATATGAATTTTATTCACTCAAAGAATCTTCAACTTTAAGCTGAGAATCAGGTCAAGTAAAGAACTATACGACTTTAGCTTAAGCGAGTGACAAGAGCGTGCATGCAGGCGGAAAAGCGCCTGTGCAAGATGAGTAGGAAATAAGAACCTCCTTTATAAAGCAAAGACAATTGTACCGCCATTTCCCGTCATAATGAAATAAGTGACGGCTTACGCTTGCATAGTCTCTCCTGATTGAAATGACTGAAACGATTTTCTTCTAGAGAAGTCAAAATATTTCTTTAAAACTGATACGTACGAAAAACATTAATGCCATTATTTCAATTAAAAAGTCGAAGAAAACCTACTTCCTCGGGCGAAAGCGTTATAGAAATTTTGTCCTGTTTTATCTGCCAGGCAGCTTGGTAATCTGTCCAAAACACGCGCAAGACGCTCGTGACGCATGGAAGGTACCCATTTAAATTGTCCCATACTATCCCGTGCTATCATCGTATAATCCATAGAAGTTCCAGAGAAAATCATATTGATGTACATTTTTTGGGTTGAATTCAAAAGTCTGCCGACTTTTTCTGCTAATTTTTCTTCTAGCAGTAAATCGAAATCAGACTCAATAATAACTAATTTTAATAGCATGAAATGAGTGAAAAAAAACACGTTCAATGCAAACATAACACGATTCGTAACTGCTGTTCAGCCAATTCCCTAAAAAAGCTCAAGGATTCCACAAATCAGTGTTTATTTCAATTTTTTTAAAGTTTTCCTTTTTGTTAATTCTTTGTCACGAAAAACAAAAAAAAAAACAGGAAAGACTCATGATGAGTGACGCTGCAGAAATCCTAAAGTCAGTCCAGATAGGTTTAAATGTCGTCATATTTCTTCTCAACACTGATCGTGGCCTACAAGCGACTGAGTTATGTAATGAATGCACAAGTCTACTTCAAAACCTTGACTGTGGTAGTCACCTTAATATCTCTGTTGTAATATCCAATGCATGCTACGCCATGTCTGGTAACGCAAATGCGGAACTATATACCAAGAGACTTCTTTACACCTTGCACCACGCTGGAAGACTAACCATTCAACTGGGAGACAAATATAAAGCCCAGTGCGGGTTTGTAGAGGCAAAGCAACTTTACAATAGCG